GAGAACGCCGGATATCACCGGGAAGGATGAAGAAACATAGTCTCTAATCTTGACAGACATGTTTCGACCAGACAGGTAGGAGTAATCACCTGACAGTGTTCATCATCGTGAACACCTATCCTGTCTTATTTAGCCAACGCAATGTCATGGTTCATTTTGTCAAATGCTGCGGAGAGGTCAGTGTAGATTAGACTGATGTAAAATTTGAAATTTTCGCTCCACAGTGCTTAAACGGTTCCAAATTGGGCCCTGATTACCCTTCCAAAATTTGAACTCATTTAGTGAGAAACTGACTTGGCACAAACCATTTGAAGTTTATATGGGAATTACTATGGAGAAACCATAATTTCGATTCATATGTATCTCAAAATTCACCAGTTCACTGTACTTTAGAAAATGATAGCTGTGCTACTTGAAAATTTTCACAGCTAAATACAACTTTGTTGAAGACCAGTTTTCGATCAAATGTAAGGAACAAAAGTTATTAATGATTCAAGTCACTGATGTCTTATGATTATGCTCAATCATCTGTTCAGCAGGCAACATTGGTGTTTATGGCGCGTAGAATAGAGGACAAAAACCATGGCTACTATGTCACACTGCAGAATACAGTGTTGTTCACAATACAGTTGCTTAATCTTGCCATAAGATTATCAATCTCTTAAACAATTAATAACTATTTAATTTGACGTTTGGCTGAAAAACGATTTTCTGCAAAGTTGTAGCTGATAAAAATTCCCATAAGAATAGCAATAGAATTTGTTAACAGTACAATATGTAAAAAGGCTAAAAGACAATGAACAAAAAGTTTTGTTTTCCCATAGTAATCTCCATATAAACTTCAAATGGTTTGTGCCAAGTCAGTTTCTTATCAAATGAGTTTAACCTTTCGGAGGCTAATCAGGAACCGATTTGATACCGTTTGAACACTGTGGAGCGAAAATTTCAAATTTTGCATCAGTCTAGTGTAGATGGCATCTACTTGATGGCCATGTCCTACATGAACTTTGAACCAATTTTTCGAGTATAATCAACTCTAAAAGTTTGGAGGTAGCACTTAACGAGGCTATTCCACGGTAGTTTGAATCAGTTCTTTTGCAGCCTTTCTTGTGGATTGGAAATACGAAAGACTCTTTTCAGCAAGCTGGGAAAACGCCGGACATCAAGGAGAGATTGAAAACGTTGGCTTGAGGTGTCGCGAGAGCATTCAGGCAGCGTTTGAGGACTAACAACGGTACGCCATCTGGACCTGAACCCGTTGAAGTTTTCAGAAGTGATGGCTGGAGAAGGTTGCGGAAGAGACGTTGCTAGACGCAGCTATAACATCCTGAGTTCTGAGTCGATTGTTGTTGAAAACACTACTGAATTGTGTGCGAAACAACTGACGATAGAGTCCACTTCCACTACGCCGTTCGTCATACTTGAGGGTTGTTCGTTTTCCTTTCTTTGGGCATTCACATGGCGCCAAAAGATCTAAGGATTTGATTTCAGACGACGCTGAAGCTGGTTTTGGTTTGCCCGGTACAGTTGGTTGTTGAGTCGCTTGTAATCTATGTTCGCTTTAGAATAACATGCTTTCGTGCGATCGGTTCGCTATTTGCTTTGCTTACGAATCCCTTATCTTTTTGATGTAGGATTACGTCTTTCGGCAACATATTGGGGGTGCAATTTCAAAATCCAAAATTAACCGCGTTACGTATGGTGGTCAGGTTTTCACCACTTATAACTCTGTCAATAGCGGATGGATTTTAATTCTAAACAAGCCAATCGATTAGAAATTTTTCTACGAATCTGCTAAAATAAACACTTTATCAATTTTTAATAGTCCACTATTGAAAATTACACACATGTCCAACTGTTGCAATTGGTGTTGCAAAAAATATCATCGATTTCCTGCAAAAAGCGCTTTCTTTAACACAGTTGACATTGACATCAAGCACGTAATCCTACGTCAAATCTACCGTCATGGCTTGGACACAACCTCTTACCTTTTTTTTCAATCGCTTAAGCTCTGAATTCGACCAGGCAGGTTTAACAGGTTCGCGACTGATTCGCTTACACAGTTCGAAAAAGTAGTGTAAATTTCTGTCACTATAATGCACATAAATGGAGCGTCACATACCATACAAATTCACATTACAGATCGTGTAAACTTATGAGACATTTCATGAAATATTCTAAATATTGTATGCAACCATCCATATTTGCAAGCAATATTTCTTGCAAGTTGCTAGTTTACGTAAAAAGGAAGTTAACATGCTTGGATATTTACATCACCATTAAAATTCATAATTTTTTGGTGTGTAGGTACGAGTTGATCGATTGCGTACAAAAGAATGTGGGATGTCGTCGATGCGACGAGATTAGAATCACAATCATGCAGTGCCTCTTCCCAGTCGACATTTGAGAGAAAATCGTTCATTTCGCTGAAGTTGGCTTCGCCAAAGCTATACACGACGCTCTCTACAGTGTCTTTGAAATTTTGATGAACGTTGAGCTTTATGCTCACCAGTAGAGGAGTATGATGCCTACAGTTTTTAACAAGCGGGGAGGGGGCTGATATGATTGAACAATCAGTGCAAATCTTCTCACTTAAGAAACAGATATCGAGCATGTGTCTAGTTTTTAAGTATGTAACGGGCTCACAGCCAGTGCTGATAAAAATCCTTTCTTCTACACTCAATTTAGCTGAAAATGAAGAAAACCTTAACAGATAGACCCTCTACCTGCATGAATTTGAATTTTGATATCAACAAATTCCCTTGATCTAGGCAATTTCTGAGTATCAAAAATAACATTTGTTTTTCTTCATTCGTGGCTGGATTCTCATTATCGCCTCTGTTTGTAAATATTGATATTCGTATTCATCTTGGTCGGGATAATATTGAGGATCAAATGCAAAATGATTATTTTCATTTTAAACAAATATAGCGCTGAAGAACGTGGTTTTTAGGCATAAGTCGACGGCAAATTATTGCCTGAAGCTGAACTGATGATAATATCGATGATTTAGGCAGTGTGGTCGACAATATTCAAAATAATCATTTTGCCCAAAATGTCGTTGATTATTTTGCTTTTGAGGATCACTTCTGATTTTGACAATTTTGGGTTTGATAATCGAGCACTGGTGAATATCAACAAACGCGTATTCGTTGATGTATAATGAACTCATTTCGACAGTGAGCATTCATAAGGGCGTATACGCGATGATCGATTCTCTTCATCGAATTTCTCTTTGCATTACTACAGCTAAGCGAAACAATTTTCTAGAATTTGTTCAATGCAGAGTTGTAACAGGTTGTATTAGCTATCAAAAGCAATAGCAAACGTACCGAGAAACGTTAAATCTAGCGAGTTATTAACAAAAGAGAAAATCTATGAAGAGAATCGATCATCGCGTATAGGCCCTTATGCATGCTCACTGTCGATTTGTTCATTTCGCTCGTTTCGTAACTACGAAGATGTTCAAAACAAACGCAATTCATCGACACTGGGTTGAAGCGATACTCCTTGCTTGTGATGGTAAATGATAAAAACAGACACTGCTCACAGCTTATAGTCCAAATACAAATACAAATATGCGTTTCATTGGCAAAACACAAAATTGATGGGCAAAAGTCTAAGTGTGGAGAGATGATTGATTTGTATAGCTGTATCTGACAACACATTTTTTATTCGAAAAGCAGAGAATCCCGTACTTCTTGGCAATTTGATTGACATTAAGTTTGGCATCAATAATCACGCCAAAGTATTTAATTTCCGAACGCGATCAACTGTCTCACAGCCATTTCCAACAGAGACTCGATGGATGGATTACTTATATTCAGTTTCAATAACTCAACTTCAACCATCTGCTCAGAGAACGCAAATCTTCATTCAAGTGTATTACCGAATCTTCTAAATAGGGGAAATGGCTAAAAAGCTGCTATTTATCAATTTTATCTAGATGAACGCGTCATTGGGACGGTACAAATGGATATTTTTGGTTGCTATTGAAAATTTAGTCGATTGCTGAATTTATGTATTGGCCCAAATGAGGGACATTTAGGCCGACATTACATACATTTCCCCTATGTCACACAAATAACTCTCACACCATTTATATGCAGAACCCGAAATTCGAAAGCGCTTTATATTTCGCAGAAATAATTTCGAAAGTGCGCTTCAGAACCAAAAATAAACAGCATCAATCGTTTCTTTCTATTTCGCTAACATCAAATCAAATTCAACGCAGTTTCTCAAGAATGACCTTTCCGATATCCCGATTGTTCTGGTTTGTGTATTGCATTATTTTGAATGCTATTAAAATTGTAAATCGTTGGAGTCTCAAGATAAATTTCGACCAAAACTTATCTTGATATCTATCACCAAAAATGTTCTAAGTGACAACTAAAAACGCATAATGATCAATTTCACTCCAGTGATTAATTAACCCTTGTATTAGCTGTTTAAGAGGACCTGTATAGATTTTTTAAGGAACTGTGCAAACAAAATTTCATGTACTGATTTTACCCTTAAAATCTGCGCATTACGAATTCCGTTCTCCAACTGAGCTGTTCGTTGCTTTAATATTATTATTTATCGTCTAGAAAAATGTCATGAGCTCAGAGCAAATGGTGGAATACTTTCTGTCTTAAAATGTGCCCAATTTGAATGAAAATGCCTTATATATGGTGAATCTGAGTTGTGACGTCCAAACTGCACTGAAGAATGTCCTTGGTATTAGTATGTAGCCATACACGCATTCTCTTCAATTCAAGCATCACAACAATCACTAACCAATGCTTATCTGGAGTAAGCAATTTAAATGTGCCATAAGCACAAACATTCATTCCTATTTTTATTTGATAATGCCAGGGCGCTACTGTTTTGAACGTAGTTGTTGCTATTCTATGCTAGTTCCTGATAAGCTTTTGATTCATCATCATAGCAAGCCATGTCTGTATATGCACGTAAACAAATAACTACATAGCAACGAATTTCTAAGCAAATGGTCTTACCTGGGATGGAATTGATGCCGCAATCGATAACAACAGCACTTGGCTTAATCCAGGCCCCACGAATCATTTCCGGTTTACCAACGGCCACTACCAAGATGTCAGCTTTTTTGATCTAAAATTCAAATCATGCTCTAGTCACTGATACAGCTCGATAACAGCATCGCTCGATATTTACCGTCATGTTCATGTTTTTCGTCTTGGAATGGCAAACCGTAACCGTAGCATCGTGCCACTTGAGCAGCTCGGACATCGGAGTCCCCACGATCTTACTGCGCCCGATGATGACGGCGTGCGATCCTGCGATGGGAATTCCGCTTCGCTTGATCAGTTCCATGCACCCATTTGGAGTGCACGGTAGAAATCCACTCAAATCTCCCACGGCAAGACGGCCCTCGTTGATGGTGTTGAGTCTTTCAAATGGGATTGGATTAGTTATGCAGTGCAATAATAGTATCATAGTTTATGTATTTTAGACAACTTTACCCATCGACATCCTTATCGGGAGAGACGGCGTCGGTGATCAGATGCGAATCGATCGGACAGTCCGATTCCAGTGGCATCTGCACGATGATACCGTGAAAGTTGGGATCCTCATTGAGGCGCTTTATCTGCAAAATTCGATAAAAATAACCACATTCAAAATTAAACGCTTACTTCAATTCCGGATATTTTCGTGCATGATCGATCACGTTAAACCGAGGAATTTTAATAATTTGATGTCGATCAAGAAACACCGCTTTACTAGCAGAGCAGCTGCTCCGCGACATGGTTGCTCGAACCTAGCGCATAAATCAGCACTGGTTAACTGATGCTGTCATCATAAATATCCTGTCGCCAGAAGGCAAGTGAGGCGATTGAGCATTTTGATTTCCAGCTTATCCCACCCACACTTTTGAATCGATTAAATAATTTGCAATTTTGTTGCAATTGGACGACCACACTCGACCCATGTTTTAGCAATGTTCCGGACATCTTCGGCATTTCAAAGTGTTTGATTAATCAAGTAACATAGCTGTGGACAGATGCCGAGCGGGATCTTCCTACGTGCGAATGGTATATAGCTATATACATATGTTGGTACAACGCACGTGTTTGTTTTATGTCATGCTTCGACGAGGTGCGAAATTACCATGGCGCGACGGTATTCAGGCTGTGTCCAAGCGTCATTGAGATTTTTGCACATCTACTTATTGATCAATGAAATTCGTGCTGGTTGACAGGACGACATTCTAGTGGAAAATTTACATAGGTGTTGCAATTATATGCTGAATTTGACAGAAAAATTGAATCAGCTTCGAGTGGGTTGGGGAAGTTAGAGGGAAGAAGAATACTATTTAAAAGATGAAAGTTTGGTATGTTCTGAAAATCTCATTCAATCACGGTGATATTATAAAACCAGCTTCAGCTACGATATAAAAATATTCCTCAAGGCATGCATTGTGGTGGTATAATTTTTAATGGAATAGAGATAATTAGGTTCTTAACTACACACCAAATTTCAGATTTGAAAACCAGCAAAACGGATTACTGGAACAAGATCGAAAATTAGCTATTGTTTTTTAATGAATACTACAGAAAACATGAGTGATCTGCTGGAAATCAATGAAGAGCTGTCAAAGTGTGAGCGTCAAAAGCAATCAAAAATTAAAATGGGTGTCTAGAGGTTGCCGCGAATTTATGTCTCAAATTCTTCGGCGATTTAAAATGGTAAGTTGCCCAGTAATTCATGTATGAATATTGTTAATATTTTTTAATACACGCCGAACTTATGTGTTTACTAGGTTAATCTCAACAACTATCAAGAAACATGCTCCAGGCTTAATAAGAATAATTCTGTCTCAAGGACCTACCTAATACCATAGAGGTAACTCTAAGACTAGAAGGTTCCGAAATAACGTGCTCAACTTTTTGGCTCAGTTCTGGTAATCTCTTCGGTCCCAAGCTAATTGATACACCCCTCGAAACATAGGAAAATCCACGAACCCCTCATTTTATTTGTCAAACGTTCATTCACTTTCAGCAAAATCCTCGCAAATGTCAGATTTTTGGATTGCTGACAAAATCGGTAAAAAATATTGCTGAAATTTTTACTGATTTTCAGTAAAATGTTGTCATTTTGACAGAAGTTGAAATTGCTGGTAGATTCAGCAGCATTATTTTGCATTTGGTGTGTACATGAAACATTTATGGCACATTAAATCTGTATAAGCACTTTTTTCGTCTAAGTTTATGAAGTTCGCGACCTCGGATTTAGATAATATGAGTGATGTACTACTTTCACGTGTTGAAATTATGAATAGAATTAAAATACTGCTAAAATAATTTGGTTTTTGACATTGTAAAGTCACAATGCTTATTGTAAGCAGCCATACATTGATTTAGTGATCCAAATTTAGCATGGTTTGTACTCAATATATTTCATTTCGCAGATGCCGAGAAGGTGTATAAAAATTTAGATTGGGTAAGAGTTCTACTAAGTCAATACGATGTGAAACGATATCGTTTACAAATTAAACCATTGCTAATTCACGACGCTCTTTTAATGTTTGAATGTTGATCATTTGCACTTTTGCACTGATTCTAATTGTTATTTTTGCGTGATTAAGAAAGGCAAGACCATATACATTTGCCTTGCTCGGTATTTTTTTACAGAAAATAATCGCTACATACAGATTTTCCGATCAACGAAAATAATTTTACCAATGTTCTGTAATGTTTTAACGAAGTGACGGTAATCTGCTGATGAAGTTGACGAAATCTGTAAAATATATTACAGTATGAGACAAACGCCGAATTCGGTAAAAAAAAATACCGATCAAACTGTAAATCACAAACTAGTTTACCGAACTCCTGTAAATTATTTTAGTCTGTCAACTCGAAAGGTAGCCATATATACCGTATGCGTGATAATGTTTGCACCATTGAGCAATGTCAAAATTTAAAAAAAATCTCAAAAATTTCGTTTTCGAGTTTTTTTTTATTTATTCAATGGGGGGATGTTTCTCAGAGTCTTAAACTATGTTAATCATCGATCGAGTTTCCAATGTTTGTCTGAGGCTTGCTGTACTCGGGTGGCGTTTAGAATAGGCCATGGCATTCATGACGCGCCATATTGAGTAATCCAGCGGATTAAGATCGGGGCTGGATGGCGGCCACATATCCTTCGCCCAGAACGGAAGATGTTCCTGCAACCACTTCTGAGTGCGGTTCGAGGTGTGGCACGGAGCCCCATCTTGTTGAAATACAACATTTAGCTTCGGACCGTACTGTTCTTTGATCCACGGAAGAACATGTTTACTTAAAATCCCGATGTAGACCTCCGTGTTGACCTTGTCGTCTTCTGGAATGAACACCGGGTCCATTTTGTTGCCATCGGAAGCCACCAATCCAAACACCATAACGCTAGCAGGATGCTTGGTCAGATACACGTTCTTGTGCTCGTCGGCCACGTCTTTTACCGAAAGAGAACTAATATACCGGTCGGTTCTGGAATTTGATACGGGATCGACGGTAAACATGCTCTCGTCGGTGAACAGGATTACTGGATTTTTTCGCTTAATAAAGTTCAAGATTTTCTTGCATCGTTCGACTCGTAGCTCCCGGATGCGGTTGGTAATCATGTGTGTTTTTTTTTCCGTGCCCTCGACTTCGCCCTGCAGTCTTCCTTTACGATCTTCCGTGTCGTAAAGTCACTGATCCCGTGTTCCTTTGCTATTTTCCTTATTGAACGCACTGGGTTCATCCGAATCTTCCTTTTGATAACAGCGATAACCCTCGGAACCCGAGCTGTTCTTGGACGACCTGTGGCCACCTTCGCGGATAGTTGTCCTTTCTTTTCTCGGTCTAAAACCCTTTTGACGGTCCACCGAGACACTCCCACGGCGATTGAAATGTCTTTTTGCGACATTTGCGCGTGGGACAAATCACGAATACGCTGCCACTTCGTCATGGTGCAACTGTCAAACTAAGTAAATCATTTTCTTTTATACACAGCCTACTACGGTATGAGCTATAGGTTACGTGCATGCAAAGAAAACCAAGGCATTGTAGGCACAGATGAAACGGGAACCTTATTTGTACGATGGTGCAAACATTATCACTCATACGGTATACTGCATGTGAAATGTGAACAGTAATTTTGATTGAAATTCAGAGTAGCTAGAAAATCTAGTGTAAATAACGATTGTGGGCTTGTGAAACCCGCTCAAGCCGGTGGAACTTTTCGCAACCAAGAAATTGCTCTAATGATCTACTAGGTGTTGTGTGTCGTCCGTTGTCTTGTGTTGTGTTCAGTTTGTATAGCCTCTGGTTGATGACGGTGTCTTTTTTTATAATCGAGCAGGCATGAAAACAAATACAGAAGCAGCATGAGTGCATTCTCTAAATATACCGTAAGAAAACGTTAATAATATATTATTTGTAATTGTTTTGCAGACACTACCACTGTCGGGATCAGGTTACAGACTGTGTAGACTACGTTGCCACCTGCAGAAAGGACACATTTTAGCTGGAAATATTTATTAACACTTTTTTATTATAATTTCTATTATTATTTTAAAAAGCTCGTAGATATTATAGTTGGAGATGCTTATCGTCAATATAATACTTAAAGTGATCATTTTTTGACGTAGGACTACGTCTGTAATTTATAATGGGGGTACACTTTATGAAAACCGAAAATGGAAAAGGTAACGAAATTATGAAAGCTTTTGAACGTTAATAACTCAGCTGCTCCTAGACCAATTTCAATAATGTTATCACCAATCGATCAGAAATACTTCTACGCATCTGATAAAACTAATATCAATTTGCATAATGTCACCATTGAAAGTTGAATTCGATCCGGTCTCACCAAACAGTGTTTATACAATCACCGCGTGGTGAGTGGTGGTGTTCTCCAGTACGCAATGAAAGGCTCCCCGCAAACAGGTAGCTATCGTCGGCATCAGCAGCAGCAGCAGCAGCAGCAGTATGTAGTTCTTTCGGTGCGTGGCATTGAACATTGTTCTCCAGTACAAATCGAAAGGCTGTCTGCAAGCAGCGAGCAGCAGCCCACATCAGCATCCATAGAAGAAGGAAGAAGCCGCACCGCTACTGATTGGAATCAGTAGCTTTTCTTGAGTTGCTGTGAGCCATCTATGCCAAGCGCGTCACCCTCGTTCCAAACAACATACAGCTCGCCAACCTCATCTGTGAAGACTCTAATAGCTTAGCATTACTCAACGATAACGACAAAACAGTTCTTTTCAGAACCACCATAAATTATTGTTGTTTTTAATAAGAGTAAATTTTGATGCCGGCGCCGGTGGTGTAGTGGTAAACGTGACTGCTTTCTCACCCCCAATGAGTCTAGGTTCAAACCCAGCCGAGGTCGGTGGGATTTTTCTGAGGCATAAACATCTCTGGTCACGTCTTCCTTCGGAAGGGAAGTAAAGCCGTTGGTCCCGGGCAATGTGTGTTTGAATGGGTGCGATATCCTACGCAGGTATGGAAGCTGCCTTCCTGCACATTCGATTGCCGTCAATGTATAATTTATCATAATTTACTACGATCCATATAGCAGGGCTGGTAGCGATCACTACTGTTAGAAATAGTGATTTTAGTGACC